TACTACTGAGCAATCTTGTCAGACCAGTTACTGTCAAATCTGATGCCATGAAGCTTTCCTCCCCTTCTCTCCCCTTCTTCTCATTTCCTTTTCCCTCTTTCCCTTCCTCTCCACTACTCTCTTGTCCTCTCTTCTTCCTTCTTATTCCTGACCTTTTGCTTCCATTCTCTCCCTTCTCCACTCATCTTCTTTTCCCTTTATATCTGAGATGAAGACTTGCTAGTATGACTACAGTTAGGTTTCTAACTTAGAAACACAATAATACACATACCTCATGGTTTTCTTGAGCTACTATTGGAGCTTGAACTGCAGGTCTCACAGTCAGTCAACTTCCTCACTCACTGTTGGCACTATCACTGGAGCCATACCTCTAACCTGTTCATTAGCTGCTTAGTTTGAGTTGTCTATCCAGGCTGGCATGCAGACCTCAGTTTCCTCCTTAGTAGCTAGGCTAAAGTGACAGTCTTGAGCCAGAAGTAATTGCCTTGGTTTTTCTTACCTCAACATTTAACATTAACACTTAATTGGATACTACAATGAAAGGATTATTGTTACTGGTTTATGTAGAATTAATATTCAACCTACACTGAAATAGTTTATCTTTCAAATTAAGTGTTGTATTGTGTTTCTAACAATTGTAACCGTTCTAACTGTGGTAGATTTTCCTCACTAAGCAAATCGTTTATGCTGGAGGTATTGTTTTATAATTAAGGTAATTTGATGTTATTATGGAAGTCATATATACAGAGATTATAATGACATGAGTCAGGTAATAAATACCTTTCCTTTCATACAGTGTCTTCCATGTTTTCACTCTCTCCCAACCCCTCCCTCCTATCTCTACTCTTGAGTTGTATACTTCACTTTCATCACCCTCTTTCCCTCACATTCTATGGCTCTGCCACACCCGCCAGAAGATATACATGTGAAAACACCATATATAATTGAAAGCAATTGTTTTTATTTCACAAGTGAAGAAAGTGGCTCCCTTTAATATTGAATAAATCACAATGAAAGCATGCATTTTTACAGATCTATTCTAGTTTCCATCTGATTGTTTTACTGTTCGATTATTAGAAACATATTGTTGGATTTTATTGTATTTACAACACAGATTTATTTGTCATACTGATTTCTAGACAATTTGTCTTCATATCTATTCTCAGTGTGTCTGTCTTGGTAAACATGATAGCATAGTG